TAACGAGGGGAAAAAACAAAAAAAAAAAAAAAAAAAAAAAAAAAAAAAAAAAAAAAAAAGGGCGCCTGGCTGTAGTTCCCACAGCATTTCCTCAGCCTTGACATGCAGGGCTCTCTTTTTTCTTTTTTTCCTCGCTTCTTGTCCCTCCCTTTCCTTTCTCCACCCCTTTTTACAAGAAGTTTAGTCACCGTGCCCATGTTCCTCCTCCGCTCGGGGCTTGCATTCCCGGTCAGTCCCTGCCGGCCGGGCCATGCCTCCACCTGCCCCCAGCCCCTTCCCTCGCTGTCCTCTCCCCTGGAATCGCTGCCTTCTCCTCACGCCCCCGGTATCGCCTGACACTGCCAGAGGACATCTTGGGCCTCAGGCAGCCTCCCACCTCGCCCCCCATCCGCCCTGCCTGTGCCCCCGGCACTGAGGAAAGCTCCTGTCCCCTCTCGCTGCCCGGGCAACATGTGGGGGCCAGCCTTGGCCTTCTGGCACAGCTCGAGGTCCCCGTCCCTTCCCCCTCCACGTACTTCAGCTGATGTCGGGAGCTGGCGGACGGGATTGCTGCCAAGAGGGGAAGAAAAGCGGAAGATGTGCCTTGGGAGCTCTCCCAAACCACTCCACGCCGTTCCCGGGGCCAGTCGCTGCGCCCTGACTCGGAACGCTGCAGGGTGGCCTCTTGACCCCCAGAAGAGCCTCGGCCGGCGGCCCTGCGGCAGCCGCCCTGCCCGGAGGCGAGTGGCTGCAGCTGGTGGCGTGCCCGGCACGGCCCGCGATGTCCCTCGTCTCACAAAGGGACAGGAATCCTCTGTGGCTCGGCAGGACGGGCCGGGCTATTTACACAGGCTGAGGATCCAGCAGGGCTGGCCCTGCGGACACAAAACCTGACCTGTGCTCACATGCTGAGAAATAAGCTTGGGAGCATGTTTCTGACTTAGGCAAAGAAGGAAGTTGTTCTTTCACTTATGTATTTAGATTTAACCCTTGACCAGGAAAAAACCTAGAGTTTCTTTATGTTTTCAAATGAATAAATACATTCAAGCACAAAAGATGAAGAGAATATTAAAAACTCATCCTTCCTCGGTGTTGTCTGATTTTTACTCAGAGGAATGATAAACTCAGGACAGAAACAGCTGCTGAGCTTTTTTCCTCTAGCTAGTGAAAGGCCTGCCTGCACAGCAAAATGAAGCTATGACCTTCACTTCACCTCTACATAGTTTCCAGGGGGCCAAAAAGCCTTTTTAATCTCCCTAAAGTTGCTTGACCCCTGCAATGTCCTCAGCAAGCATTGGGTCCTGCCTGATTTGTGCTGAAGCAGGTTCTGCTGGCCTCATTCGCCTGCCTGGTCTCTCACACCACGTGGCTCTTTGGGCACTGGTGGCCCCAGAGTGAGTTTGATGCTCCACCTTGGGCTGTGGCTCAGAGCAACACCGCATGATGTGCCTGGCTTGGGGCCAGTGGTTGCTCCTGATAACCGCCAGTCTTCTGGAGGTGACTGGGCAAGGATGAGGCTGATGGGTTTCAGCAAGCCATCGAGCTTGCAAGTGCAGTGCAAGAGCCCTGTCACCCTGCTTGAGGAGTCAGGATCTCACCACACTTGGGTTGGACAGGCTGCTGGTTAGGAACAGAATTGAGTTGGGAGTGAGGAGTAGGAGGGAAGGCCACAGCACCCAGCTTGTCTGGTAGGCAACAAATGCAAAGCCAACTTCACCGGGGCTTTGCAAGGTATGGTATGACATGTGGAAAAGTGTGTGCCTGGCTGCTGGCAGCGGTTTTAGTCCTGGTTGGTCCTGGAGAGAGCCCACTGAGAGGGAGGGACAGAACCAGGGCAGGATCCTTCTGCTGGAGCCTTGTCCACCCATTGCTGAGAACATGCAGCTCTGTGTCAGCCGGGAGGTTTTAAAATGTTTGTGTTTATGGTACAAGGAAATTCTTCTTTTTAAACAGAACAGTCTGTTAAGTCTCTTCCCCTTTTCACATTTAGCACAACACCAAGGCTATAGGCTGTGTTTATTTACCAGCTGCTCATTCTAACCACAGATTTACAAGAGCAAACTCTCACGAGCAGTCAGATGTGTTGTCAGCTTGCTCTGAAGGTGTCAATTGAAGAGCTTGAAGGCATCGAGGGAAGCCAAGCCCTGTGCAGCTCAGAGGAGCTCCAGAGCAGTCAGTATTGCACATCAGCTCAATTACTTTTGCATTCTCACCCCTGATCCTGCCTGAAATATTTCTTGTTTGAGCTGAAATTTCTCTCATTTTCTACCACTATGTGGAAACAGCCTTTTTTTGAAAGCTCAGATATTTTCCTCTGAGTTAAATTTTATGTTCCTGAGCCAAAACCCACAGAAGCCACTACTGGGTGCTTTACAGTCTTAATTATGGATTGCAGTAGATTGTTAGAAACTAAAATGTGAATGCTATAAAATATGAACCGGGGAACATGTAGCACTGTCAATTCTCTCACACTTTTCACATTTATCATTCTACATAGCACAATTAAAACTTTAACATTTATACCAAAACTGGTTTGTCCACCTGTTTCAGAAAATTATTTTTTTCCCTTACATTATTTTGTCAGCTACCTTTGCAAAGCACCTGTTCTGAATAAAATCAAAATGCTTGAAAAACTAAGGTTTCAAACTTAACGGTGACATTTGGGTGCCTCTTGTTTCCGTTCACCACTGTGGCACACAAGCATAAACTGGACTAGCCTTTGGGAAGCTCTTATGAAAGAGAAGAGATGGAAAACCCTGTGCAGCCTTAGAGGTGTGGCAGAATGAAAATAATACCTTGGATTATTCCAGGATCCCTTCTTGGTGATGCCTGCTACAGAAAACAAACCGTGAGCCTGGCTGACCGCTTAGCAGGGCTGTGGTCAGTATGGATCGCTTCTTGCTTCCTTCCTAGAGAGAAAAGTGGGTATTACCTGATAAATGCTATTCTAAAAGAAGCACATCAATGTAACACTGCAAGTTTTGTAGCTGTGTGAAAATCAAACCCCTTCAGCATCAGTGTAAAAACTCCTCTTTTACAGGAGCTTGGATAAATGGCAACTCACTCCCAGCTAATGCCTGAATTTGTCTCCCATCTTTCCAAAACAATCAACCCAAAAAATAAAGGCCAGGAATGGTTTGGTGGGTATACCAAGGCATTTGAGCAGCACCTATACATTCATTTTCATGTCCCTAGCTGTTCCTTCACTTTATCCATGGTACTGAACTTCCCTTACCTGCACATGAACACCAACACCTTGTGATGCCCCCTCTCCCCAGGAGCTAGAACCAGGAGGCTCTGTGTTAAGTCCAGGTCTTCAAAGCGATGTGATGGAAACTTGGGCAGAGAAACAACACTGAAAGGCAGATGGTTGCATCCTGGGAAACCTTTTCACATGTGCAGGAAGGCTTTGAAGGGATTCCCTTGCCTCTCACATGCTTTCAAGGGATAGAGGATGAGTTGAAGGGTTTTGATCAATCACGATCAATTTTTTTCTTTCAATTTGTGTCACAAAGGTTTGGGGTTTCAGTCTGTGGACAGGCTTTGTAAGTATGAGCACCTGCCTCTCAGCAGGTGAGCAAGAAAGGCAGTGCAGTGCAAAATTAGAGTTCTAGGAAAGATCCCTCTAAATCAGGGGGATGCCCTGCAGGGCAGAGGGGTCAGAGTGCAGCTTCTGGAATACCAGCAATCCATGCAGACAGTCTGCCATGGGACCAGAGAGAAAGGCTGCCTTCACCTGCCTCATCACCCTCTGCAGGGAGGGAGCCCTACTGTATGACCCAGCATGTGGAGCTTTCTACACTTGGAGAAAAAAACGTAGAAAAATATCTGGACATTTTAGCACAGGAGGCTCTAGTTTTATTTGAGAACTCTAGCTATTAAATCAATTAAAAAAAATTAAATCTATTGTTTACAAAAAAGCCCAAGCCATACACAAAGTCATGTCATCAACTTGAAACTGTTTTCTTCCTGTGCAAGCCAAGTTTCCATAGCGTTCTTTTGCCCAGTCTCCCTGAAATTTTCAAACACACAAATATTTCCTATGGCAGAACAACTATAATAAAGCTCCTTAGTCACACTGGTGTGGTTTACAACACACCTTTTACAATCCCACAAAAATGTACCACTGCTAAATGCCTGTCCGAAAACCTCAAGTCCACAGCATTCAAAAGAAAAACGCTCTCAACCACCCACTGCCAGTACATCAGATATTTGAAGTACGTGCAAGCAGACACTGAGGTGATAGGTTATTGCCAGCCACTGTGGCAACAGCTATGCCTGCATACTCCTGGGAGGAAATACAAAGTCATGGTGAATTTTGAACTTTGATGTGTGTAAGATACCTGTTGACCTCTAAGACTTGAGTCTTAGGACAAGAGCAATACTGGCACGGCCTGGGGAGCTTGCTCTACCCAGGATACTCCTCAAGCCCTGGAGACGAGTCTTTAAGGCTGGCTAACACCTACCAGCAGGGGGACTGAGACCCTAACTCTGTTGCAACACCCCATTACCAGCTCCCCAGAGCCACCCTGCCATTTTATCTAACAGCACACTTAATGATCCCGAACTCCTCTGAAAACTCACCTGATTGAGATGACTCAGATCAATGGAGTGCATTCATTTGTCAGCAAGGGATCAAACCTAAATGAGCCTTTATTGCCTATTAAACATTGTAGCTGCTTCTTCCTCATCACCACTTCCCTTGCAGCATATTTAGAAGGTGCAAATGCCTGACAGAATGACCCACATGATCCTATAAGGCACATGCTCCACTACAACTGCTGTCACTTCAGCAGGACTCCACTGTACTGCCTCCATCTCCTGAAGAGGCCTCTCAGGTGTTGTGGAATGGGAAAAAACCTCTGAAAGTACAGGGCAAGGAGCAGCAGCACAAGGCCACAGTCACAATAGTTTTGGGAATGGCAATATTCAAATATGGAGCAAACAGCCCTATTAGCAAACAGTATTTAAATGGTAGAACAGTCTTCTGCTTCTGTGGGATAGTGAAGTCAAGAGGGTGCAGACCAGCCTGACATGGGGTGACTGAGGGAGGCAGCGGCGAGGACATGCAATCCCAGTGCTGGGAAAGGAACCAGACTGACCACTGCCATGGTGCTGGTCCTTGACACCAAGTGGTGAGTCACTGTTTCAAGTCACTGACTTCTGCAGTGGAACTGCTCATGCTCACAAGTTTCTAGGAAATGGAAATCTTCAGCCTAAGGAAGTCTTTGACCAGACTGGAAGTGTGATGGATGTTCAAGCTCAGCACGTAGTGCAGATGCCTCCAAAGACAGAGGCTGTTTGCTGTTTACCACTGACTTGCCTGTTACAAACTCTGTAAGCAGAATCATCTTTTCCTACAGCTTACCTGTATGGATGAAAACTGGCCAGCATTAAACCTAAGGAAACCTTAAACCAGCTTCTAAGCTAAACTTTAGAAACAGCTTCTCTGGAAAAATAATTATTCATGGTTACTCATCTGGATTAGTTATCACACAATATATCGATGTACGCCGCTGACATCCAGGACCTGAGCAGCTTTAT